CGCCGTTTCAGCCTCCCACTCGCGCCTCTCTTGCCGTCCCACCCTCGACGATGTCCACGCGTCCTTCATCTCTCCGTCTCCCGTCCTGGAGTACGAATTCAGCTGCAGCAGCACCCCGCCGAGGCGTTCCTACACCCCCGTCCACGTCAGACGCAAGGCAAACAACAACCGCCACGTGTACCTCCGCTACAACACGCTCCCGAAGGTACGACCCGTCCCGAAGAGACACGTGGCAGTCGCTGAGGTAGCGACCAGTGATACGACAGCGTGGAGCTGCCACGTGGACATGGACGCTGAGGAGTTCATTCAGAGGTTTTATAGACAGCTGAGGCTGCAGAAGTGGATGGCTCAAGATAATTGAAACAAATTTTCATGTTAGGGCTCGCATAATTTCGTGTATATATATATATGTATATACACACGTAATTTTCATACCTCTGGTTATTTTCGTTTTGAATTTCTTCTATCTATATGATCTATATACGTGTTCTATAAGGTCGTGATTTTCATGATCGGATTCGATGGGTTTTAAAGAAATCGGGAACGACAGATTGTACATATATATATATATATCTATATATGTGTGTGATGTGATTATGAAACACCAATCATGTAAAGTCTTTGATATTCTCTCTTTCTTTTTTGGGCGTGTGTTATATATCTGTCCTAATATATATATATATATATATATATATATATATATATATAATTTCATATTTTTACTGTCACACACACCTACACCTATATAGATAGATTCATCATGCGTATGTATGTAAGTTGACGTGCAGCTTATATAGCTCAAGGATAATTCATGTTGTCGATTGATATATGGTTCGATGTAATTGATGCGCGAATGCATACACACCCAACACGAGAAAGTTCGAGTATTCGTTAACGATGTGTTGATGATTCATTCATACGTGGCATATACGCATTTACAATGCCAGGAATATCTAAGACTTATAATCTGATATATATATATATATAATTGCCTATTAGTTCGTTATAATTTTTTTTTGGGTGTAATATTAGCTAGTTTTTTTTTTGTATAAATATTAGCTAGTTATTTGTTCTCTATATATATATACACACACGCGCACATACACACACACACACACTTGCAACTTGAAGTTCACCAACTACCAAAATGAGTTTTACTAGTTCGGGTTGAACCAAAAATTCGTCTAATATCTCTAAATATGTGATTTTTTTTTGGGTTTTTTTTAAAAAAAAATAATTTTACAACGAGTAAAAGTTCGAAAATAAACCAATTAAATATCATTAAATATTACATAAATTTTAATTACACCGTCAATAATTCCACTCAAATTGTTTGAAATATTGAAAGATGATTTTTCATTCAATAGGTGTTTTATTCGAAAACAATTTCATATTTCACTATATATAGTAAATTGTTCTAAAGTTCAAGAATTGATGTACTTTTTTTTTTGGTATATTTTAACATTTCGTGTATTTATTTGTCAAAATAAAAATTGATATTTTTTGTACACATTTTATATAGTTGGTGTATTTTTATGAGATTTAGTCAATATTTTTGTCATTTACGATCAACTTATATAAGAAACGGTAAACATATTCCATGTATTAGTTATCCATCTCATTATTTTTGCCTTTGATAGTTTATCTCTAGTGACGACATTTTGTATATCCATGGCTAATAATATTCTTTCTCTCTATACACACACACACACACACACACACACACACACATATATATATATATATATATATATATATATTGCAATATCAAGAGTTAAAATATTGGAGGATGATTGCAAAAAATGGAATTGTATTAAGCTTTGAGACGTAGCGTTGAAGTTCCACTATATTTTGAGTGCTATATGGGTGGACGATGTGGATGAAGGGACTTTGTTATATCATTATATTAAATATCAACCGTTTTTTTTAATTTTTATTTTATTTTTACATTTCAAATTATCTGTTTTCTGAAAGAACAGTGGATCTTATACAGAAAGAAACTAATACAAATTAATATGCACATAATGCTTATAAAATACAAAAGTGTTGGTTGGCTTATGATCGGTTTACAAATATATTGGATCGTACATCAAAATTGGACACGATCTCCACTTCTGATATTTTCGTTGACCATATCTATTGGGCTTTGACCAAGGCCTTATATATATATATGATCGTCTTCTCCTCTTTACGAAGCGTGCCTCAAATCCCTACAATTTCATATATGTATATTATATATACACTATACATACATACATACATACATACATACATACATACATACATACATACATACATACATACATACATACATACATACATACATACATACATACATACATACATACATACATACATACATACATACATACATACATACATACATACACATACATACGTACGTACGTACGTACGTACATACATACATACATACATACACACGTACGTACATACATATAGATAAATATAAATACGTACGTATGTGTGTGTGCCAACTGCCAATGCACCATTTCATTCCTCCCTCAAGTCGCAATTGTTTTAAAGACCAATCACGTTCTACTACGTGGCTACCTCTTATTGGACACAATTTTTTTGGGTTAATTAATTAAGAGAAAACGTGGTGTGTTTAATGGCATTTGCTCTTTGAATTCTAGCCCTTTTTTTTTTGTGTCAAATTAAAATATAAAAGTAAGAAATTCTGAATACGAATGCGGTTTAAGCTTAGAAAATGTTTAATTTGCAACAAAAGATAAAAATTGGCAAAATCATTTTGCAGGCTAAATCAAAATAAAATACTCCATAATTGTGGAGTATTTTACATATTGAAAAAAATGAGTGTAAAATATTATATATAAATAAAAAAAAGTTTGAAAAATTACTGTCAAATATAAAAATTGACAAGGTTACATAAAACTAAAGACTAACTAATGAGTAATGACACGAACAATTATATGAAAATAAAGACTACAAATACTTAAGATTTAACCATAATTGTAGTATCTTAGAAAACCGATAACAACAATATCTAAAGGTTTAATATTGTCATTATCTATTTGTTTTTAATATACCATAAAATTTATCTTTTAATTATAGTTTTTATTTTTTAAAATATCTTTTATTAGTTTTTATTATAATGTTCCATTTAAATATATTTTTTAAATAAAAGTTTTTTAAATTAATAAAATTTCATTAAACTTATAATTCAAAATTTAATTGAACTTATAAATTAATAAGATTTTATAAACTTTTTATTATAAAACTTTATTACTATAATGTTTGAATTATAATTTTTTTACTAATTATCTAATTATTTAAATTTTGTCGATATAAACTTAGTAAAAAATATTCTAGAGTATTTATTTATTAAAGAGAAAATATATTACAATGTAAATTTATTTTAATATAAATAACAATTATTTAGAAAGGTGAATATTATATTTAGACTTTAATGAATCAATGATAATGGAGAAAACTGCCCGCATGAATTGTTTAGGTGTAATTACCAAATCTATTTAAACTTAATTATTTATATATATAGATTTTAGGTTTATTATTCTATCTTGCAATTAAATTAACGAAACAAAATATCGAGAGGTAGAATTTGATGGACAAATCAAAATAACAAAAATAGCAACGATAATTTGAGGACATCTTTCATTCCGCATTCCTGGGATATTTGTGAAATAAATTTGAAACGATTTTGTTCCATGTTTTTAGAAAATTATGTGAATTGCATCGTCTAAGCTTCTAAAAAAAATTAATCACTTAATTTTATTTTTATTAAATAAACAGCTTAAAAACGTCATCCCTCAAACGCCTTTTATTTGTCTTACATGATTAGATTGGTTTATCTGTTTTCTAGCATATTTAAATAGTAATATATAGTTATACTTATAAATATTTTAATAAAATAATCTATCTAAAAATTAAATATATATATAATTTTGTTGAATAGGAAAAATATTTTTAAAATAATCGAAATAAAATGGAGTAAAAAACAATAAAAAATTTATTATACTGCAAGAGAGACACGTATACACAAAAAAAAAAAATACGGAAAAAAGGGTAAAAATCCCTGTTCCTAGTTTCCCTCCACAAATCTTCAACACCCGCGAAATTTACCAGACATCAGTTTCCAGTCTCTCAAATCTCAGTCTGTCTCTCCATTGATTGTGTTCGAATCTGATTCCGATTCCGTCCGCATGCACACAATACATTGTTTCCTCTTGAATTCAGTCATCGATTTGTGAGTTGGATGGTTCTCGAAGCTTCGTTTTGAGCGGCTTTTGATCCTTCCATGGACGACGACCGACGAGGACGGTACGATGCCTGAGCTGCGTAGAAACTCACGCAAAACTCGGGCCCAGATAAACCCGAAAGCGAACCCGATATCTCCGATTCAACCAACTCCGAGAAGGAATTCCCGACGGCAGACGAGAGCGGCGGTGCAAGCCCGGAAGGATAAAGAGGCGATCGTTGCCGGAGAGCGCGGAAAGGCTATCGGCGACGGTGAGAAGAAGGTCGCCGTTGGTGGCGGTGAAGCGACGCCGTTGGTGAAGGTTGAAGTAAGAGAGGAACAAGTTAGGGTTTTGAGAGAAGACATTGGTGTCAAGAAGATGGATGGATACAACAGTGGCGGTCTAGGGCCTGTGGCTGACGATGACGGAAGCACACCTCCGCTTCCTGAGAAGGTAAATTTTTGTCACTCTTTTTCCTTTTTTGGGTATTTATCTGTTTAAAAGGTTAGATAATCTGTAGCAAAGGAGAGGAATTTGAAGGGGGGAAAAGACAATCTTGTGGGAATTACATTTTGTGTTTACCATTAGAGAATCACGTTCTTCTGGGCTTTTGCCTTGTGTCTCATGAGCTTGATTAGGGCAAGGCAGGCGTGCTAGTTTTTTTCCACAAAGCTCAAGCTTGTTTCTACTGTAAATAACCCGAATGCTTCTGTGTGTTGCTGCTACAGGTCCAGGTGGGTGGTTCCCCCATGTACAAAATGGACAGAAAATTAGGCAAAGGAGGTTTTGGACAAGTATACGTTGGTAGAAGACTTGGTGCTACCAATCTAACTGAACGATCTGGTCCAGGAGCTATAGAGGTATGAGCCATGCTGTAGGATGTTGATTGTGTTGTAACTTGCTTGGATTTGTTTCTGCTGGTTGTAACTTGCTTGAGTTCTATTTTGCAGGTTGCATTGAAATTCGAGCATAAAAGCAGCAAAGGATGTAACCATGGGCCACCATATGAATGGCAAGTTTACAAGTGAGTTTCTATGGTTTCTTGTATTTTCTCCCCACCTTTTGTTTGTTCGAAAGTTGGGTTTTGACCGGATGGGAATAACTTACTGCTCTATCATCTGTTGATTCAGTGCACTTGGTGGCAGTCATGGAGTGCCCAGTGTCCATTATAAAGGTCGGCAAGGCGACTATTATGTGATGGTATGTGTATGGCAGCAAGGTCGGAACAAGTGTATTTTCTTTCCCTACTGAGTGGTGGAATGACTGATGGTTTTTGTTTATGTTGCGTGCAGGTTATGGATATGCTAGGGCCTAGCTTGTGGGATGTTTGGAATAGCAGCTCAAATGCGTAAGCATTCTTTTTTAAAAGTTTAGTTTGTGAAACGAGGATCTGAAGATTTTTCTAAAATCAACAATCACGGGGACATTGTTTTCTTTTGAGGATCAAGTTTTTATTCCTTGTTCATCTCCTGATGTGTATTTGTCTAATCCGTCCCAGGATGTCAGCAGAGATGGTTGCGTGCATAGCCATAGAGGCTATATCCATATTAGAGAAGATGCATTCTAGAGGGTAAAGTTCTTCTGTGCTTGCCGCTAACGATCTCCAAGCAAGAATTTCTAATTGAATGGTTGCATTTGTTTACGCCTTCGCTGCTGCTCCTATGATTCTCTCTCGTTGGATTGCATACGGTGCTACTTCTGTGCTCCTGTTTCTGCAGATATGTGCATGGGGATGTTAAACCAGAGAACTTTCTGCTTGGGCCTCCTGGAACTCCGGATGAGAAAAAGCTTTTCCTTGTGGACCTTGGTTTAGGTATACTGTAATAATGTAATAGAATGAAGCATGCTTCTCTGACATTGCATTGATTTTCCAATTCCCTTCAATCTTGTAGCAACCAGATGGCGGGATAGTGCATCTGGTCTGCATATTGAATACGACCAGCGCCCTGATGTATTCAGGTAAGTTGGTTTAGCTGAGGTTAACTCACAATTGGTTTGATTGTAAGTTATGGATGCTCTGTTTGATCTGATAATGTGTTGGTTTTTGCATTTTAGGGGAACAGTAAGGTATGCTAGCGCACATGCTCATCTTGGGAGGGCTTGTAGCAGAAGGGATGACCTGGAATCTCTTGTGTACACTCTTGTTTTCCTTCTTCGAGGCCGGCTCCCATGGCAAGGGTATCAGGTTTGGTGGCAAAGCTTGAGATGATGTTGTTTTGTATTTGTTTCTCTTGCGAATCATTAACCTACTCATTCTTGTTTAGGGAGAGAACAAAGGTTTTCTTGTTTGCAAGAAGAAGATGGCTACTTCCCCAGAAACTCTTTGTTGCTTCTGCCCTCAACCTTTTCGACAATTTGTTGAGTATGTGGTCAATTTGAAGTTTGACGAGGAGCCTGACTATGCTAAGTATATTTCCCTTTTTGATGGGATTGTCAGCCCAAACCCGGACATCAGACCAATAAACACTGATGGTGCTCAGAAGGTTGTTTGGTGACTTCGCTGGTGACTTTTTCAGAATTTCCTATCATTTGTGCAATCTGTTATGCTTGAAACACTTATTTTTTTGGTTCTTATATAATGAAGCTCGTACATCAAGTGGGTCAAAAGAGGGGGCGATTGACAATGGAGGAGGAAGACGAACAACCAAAGAAGAAAGTCCGGTTGGGGATGCCAGCAACGCAATGGATCAGTGTTTACAATACTCGCAGACCGATGAAACAAAGGTACCGTCTTATATGTTGCTTGATAATTCTTGCTTCTTATGCAGATGGACTATCATTCAAAAACCTTTTCCCTCTTCCTGTAGATATCATTATAATGTGGCAGATATAAGGCTTGCGCAACATATCGACAAAGGAAACGAAGATGGCCTATTTATCAGCAGCGTGGCTTCTTGCTCGAATCTCTGGGCCTTAATCATGGATGCAGGAACCGGCCACACTGCACAAGTTTATCAATTATCACCATCTTTTCTCCACAAGGTAAGCTTGTCTGCAATCTTCACAAGAGTTAACATGCCTCCCCAAGGGTTCTTTCATTTTACTTTGTTTTATGTTCACCATGTTGATTTGGCTTTATGTTGTAGGAATGGATTATGGAACAGTGGGAGAAGAATTACTACATCACAGCAATAGCAGGAGCAAATAACGGGAGCTCATTCGTTGTTATGTCAAAGGGTAACATTAGTTTTCTAGTTTTAGACGAAGGTGTAAGAGTTTTTTTCTTCTTCCCATCTTATTTACGTTTGGCTGGTTTTATCCTTTACATTCAGGGACCCAGTATTTGCAGCAATCTTCCCTACAAGTGGATAAACAAAAAGTGGAGGGAAGGGTTTTATGTTACTTCGATGGCGACTGCTGGAAGCAGATGGGCAATTGTAATGTCCCGTGGTGCTGGTTTTTCCGACCAGGTCTGTCTGTCAATTTCTATATTTGGGTTCTGTTTTCTGTTGAAGTTATGCCTCTCCACTTCTCGATTGAGATTGGTCAAATCTTATTATGTATATATATGTATATGTTGGGCAGGTTGTGGAATTAGACTTTCTGTACCCTAGCGAAGGTGTACATAAGAGATGGGATAGTGGCTACCGGATTACATCAGCGGCTGCAACTTGGGATCAGGCTGCCTTGGTTCTTAGCGTGCCAAGAAGAAAGCCTGCAGATGAGACACAAGAGACTCTTAGGACCACTGCTTTCCCCAGCATTCATGTCAAGGTTCTGCTTCATCAGTTTCCCTCTCCCCTCTCTCTCTCTCTCTCTCTCTCTCTCTCTCTCTCTCTCTCTCTCAAATTGGGGTTTCAGAGGTGTGAGCTCTCTCCTCTGTTCTTTCTTTCCTCTGCAGGACAAATGGGGGAAGAATCTTTACATCGCGTCTATTTGCTACGGTCGAACTGTTTCATGAGAAGCTCTTGAGGGTTTTTTTTTTGGCTTTGCCATGCAATCAGTGAGAAGGTTGGTTGATGATGCTATGGCAATAGGATCGTCTCTTTAGCCAGGTTGATCTTTTTGGGTATCAAATGTATGCTATATGCTCTCTACGTAACTGCAGCTCTTGTGTAGTATTGACTATGAATATTTGCCATGTTTTTAGGTTCTCTAAATTCATCAACTGGGTTTCTTCTTCTGCTTATAAATGATTCGACATTCCATGCATCTATACTCGGATGCGGCCGAATAATTGGTATGGTTACATTCGATTTCGTCCCACCACCACACAAATGCCCGGTTTTCGGGTATATCAGGTCGGGTTACCAAAATTCGGGTACCTTTTACCCAGCACTAACACAAACAAAGCTCGAAAGGAGGTCGAAACATCATAAGAGATAGACGTGAAATATCTGACCGACGGCAGACGGAAACTAACCATTATTTATAGGGCCAAAACATCAACTCCCTAGGTTCAACCTAAACCAACGATCCACATTCCACACCCCTTTCGTCAATACATCAAAAACCTGTATATATAAGCTCCGAGGCGCTCACGCTATAATTTGCTACATATACTGCTTTGTTAGGTAGAGAACTTGTACCAGTTTTTTTGTGGAAGCCCACCGTAGCGACTTTGCACGAAAAAACGACGTGTCGGATTTTTGAGGATTTAACGGTCTCTTCATCAGCGCATGTTATCATCGACTTGGGAGCTTCTGATGGCCCAGAAGGACCTCGGCTTCAACTTCCTGTTCGTGGCAGTGAAATGCCATCCCAGCTGGGTTTCACACATTGCACAGTTTGCAATCGTCCATGCATACCTGTGGATTATAATACACATGATTATGAGGAACGAACCCGGAAGTTGTGACACGTTAATCACGGACCGAGGAAGCGAGAAAGTCGTAAGAGAACGTGTATTGGGGCTAATCTAGAAACTATGAAAATGGGTGTGATGTGTTAAAAGAAAGCCTCCACAACCTATTGATCCCATTTGCATATAATCTAATGGAGGCATCCTCAGAGATTACTAGGGATGTTACGACACATTGAACCTTGACGTTTCAGAGCATGGTCGAAAAGAGACGTGTAAATTTACAGTGACTGAAAATAAGAGCCATAATGTAAGACACCAAACAAACCGGAAGCTCCCTGAGAAGTGTGACGACTGCTTTTCATCAGTTTTATTGGCTAAAGTTACGAGACCATATTATAAAAGTCGATGCAGAAACTAAGACAAAACTGACTAAGTTCAGTAATGAAACAGGAAGTGAACAGTAATAAAAGAGAGAAGAAATTGATCATACCCGGGAAACCAGCTGTCTTTTTTGACTGACCTACCTCTGAGGGCTATGTGATTTGCTCTACAAAATGTCATTATCTCATGCACAAAACCATACGGGTTTACGTAGGCACCGAGAGGACCTTCACTAGACATAACCAGCATGTCACTTCTTCTTGCTATAACAGTCTGCATCACCCACCGAAAGAAATGATAACCCCAGGATAAAAAAGGGAAATCAAGGGAGAAAAGAAATGACTTATTTACAAAGCGATCATACAATATACCTGACAGTGTTTACATCGAACAAGATCAAAATTTTCAAGCAATTCAATCTCTCGCCGCAATCTGTATGAGACTCCATCAATTTCTAGGAGTGCCTGTCTAAAGGACCCAGAGACAGGTATTTTACTAGCAATGTGAAAGGATAATAGATCGGGTTTATTCACAAGAACATCCATGTTTGGAGCCCCGACTATCTGCTTCCACAGATCTGCAAAGTATCAACATAAAGTTAGCTGAGCTATAAATTTCATTGGTCGTAGCGTCGGGGTAAAGCAAAAGAAAGGAATTACCAGCCGCTCTTTGAGCAAGACAGTAGGAATCATACATGCGATACACCCAGAATGGCCAAAACGCTCTTGGAGTCATACGGAATTGAGTAAGATCAGTTTTTATCCGACAGTTTGTCAGCCTTTCTTCCTTCTGATGTTTCCCTTGTGACATCGGACTCTCGCTGGTTGACAACCGAACATCTTCCTTTTGGTCATCACGGTAAGAAGCTGAACACCCAATGGACCTGGAGTCATACTCATTAGTCCCGCCAGATTGGATACCAGATGTCCTGATATCTTGTTCGTCATCGCTACTTGTTGATTCATCCATTATCGAGTTAACTGCTGAGAAATGAAGCCTTCTTTCCGATGGAGAAAGAGCACTCTCAAAACTTTCTTCAGAATTTGCTATGGACTGAGCATCCCCATCCATATCTCCAAGAGGTGCAGTTGAAGACATGGTAACCAAGCGACTATGATCTCGCACATTGCTTAGTGGTACCAGCCTCCCAAAAGCATCCTTAGGGGTCCTCAGAGGCACTTCTTCTTCTTCTTTAATTTGACACTCTCCACAAGGCTACAAGCAGGAACAACGTCATGTTAACATCTTTCCACTCACATAAAGTTCCATTCGTCCCATTAAATGAACAAAGAATCAAGATGTATTGCCCTAAGATTATACCGTGTCTATACATAAATGTAAAGAGAATATATCCTTACAAATCCTTCAACATCCATCCAAGAACGCCTTAAAAGAAACCGATGTTGGCCACGAGTAATAACATTGAATGAACCATCCTCAAGTCTCCGGTACTGTCGTATCTGCAATGACATAGTGATTGCTCAAAAAAGATCAAAGCTAGCTCCCACAAATTAATAGAAACCACCCCACACCCGCTTCCCGGATCAAGAATCCATTCCGAAAACCACAGCTCCAAATGCATCACGTAAAGAAAATACAATCTTACAGCTTTCCAGCACAAGGTACAAACTCTCAACAAAGATCTTAACTGCTAACCATTTCTGTTCTCCTAGATATGATCAAGTGATCAGTATATATCAAGTTTTTGCAAAAATATCCCAGGTAACAGCTACAAAGCCCCCCAAAAGAGGAGCTGTAAGTGTTTATAACTGGAAATTCTTAAGTATTTCTCAGTGCTGCTACCTAACTAAATAGACTTAACAAAGCATCACCAATACCACACTAAATGCATTCAGTTCCTACACATCAAGATTAATCCAAAGCCTGACGATTTTGAGGCCAGCCAACACAACAAAACAAATCGAACAGAGAACACTCCGAGTCACACTTCATCTATTAATTATCAAATGAAAAATGAATGATGTATAGCACATGGACCTCTGCAGTTGTCCCCACAGTCGCATACTTGAACTGCCTACCTTCTCTATAAACACGAACCTGGAGAGAATAAAAGAAAGAAAATTAAATCAACACGAAATTTCGCAGAAAGAAGCATATTGAGAACGAAAAAGAAGCAGCAGCAAATAACAGAGTTACATACTACACCAATTTTAAATGGAGCATCATCTTGGCTCAAAGCTCTCTCAACAGCAGCTAAGAAACTAGATTGAATAATTCTAAGGGGAAGAGTAGCCTCTGGAAATAGCACGACTCCTGGAGCATTCAAATGTAAAACAGCCTTAGTGTCTCACATACATATATGGCACAAAATAACTGATGGGGATTCTTCACATCACGGGTGTCTGATATGAAAGGACAAATTAATCATGGTCTTTTTCTGCATCTAAGAAGAAACATGGTGTGCTCGTTCAATTACAGTTAGCAAATCAGGGTCAGTAACCGATAGAGAGAAAATTATCAATTTATCACTAGCCACATAATATGAATACCTTCAAGATAGAAAAGCGGGAGTTTCAAGATGGTGCCTCCACCCATGAAAGCAACCCTGCTGTGGGTGTCCTCAACCTCTAGTAAATGGAGTATAACAGTGTAAGCTGGCTCAAACAGGCAAGAAAAAAACCAACTAAGAAAAACTTCCATAGGACACTACGTTCATACCGCCAAGATAGGTATGTAAAGAAGCCAAAGCTGGGTTGAATGTAACTTCATCAAGACCATGATCACTGCCATACACCATAAACAGAGTGAGAGATTAGTAACAATAATCATCAAAAGAAAACAAAGGTAAACACCAAAAGAAATGAAAAAGAACTGCTTCCCCTATAAATTATAAATTGGTCGACACAAAATCGAGAAACATTTCTCAGTTCCTACAAATGCAGTCTAACGATAATCGTCGAAAAAAGGATTCAGGAGCTGAGCAACCGAATAGAAACATGAAGCGTCCAATTAAAAGAAGAATACAAAATGGAATTGCATGTTTCGTCATGAACTTTTTTGTCCACAAGTTTTCTCAGCAACTATACGCAATGTTCCGAATCTGGACACTGGAACTTGTATCTTCCTTCAGTCTCGGTGAAAGTTAATCAAATGCATCACGAAAACCAAAAGTACGCTATTCGCAAACCCAAGAAAATCACTCACGACACCTCCTCTAACGAAGGACTATTCTTATATGATCAGCAGATTATACTCAAAATCAAAACAGAATAACTAAGAGAAATCTGATTCCGACAAGGTAATAAATAATAACACAAAACCAAAATTTCTGAGTCCGCTAAAGAACAAAGGAAACATCAAATTGAATGTGGAGCGTGTAAACAAGCGATCACAAAGAGAAACTGAAACCAGGTGAGACCATAATGACGAAGACGACGAGGAAAGATTACTCACGAAGACGGCGCGTGAGAGACACCGCGAACTCCGTCGAGGTTGTCGCCGTCGTCGTCGGAATCATCTTCGACCTCCTCAACCTGCAACTCTTCGAAATCAAGCTGTCGAATCTGCTCGATCTGAAGCCTCTCCCTCGCTAAAATCCTGTCTTCATCCATCTCTCCCGCTCTCTCTCGATCTCGACCGCTGCGTTTCTTTTTTCCAGAGACATTTCGCTTGTCCTTCATAAAAGTAATTGGAGCCGTTCATGTTTATGGATCCGTCACCCGGCCCAGTAATTTTCGGGTTTCGAAGGTTTTTTATTTGCCTGTTTTTCATCTATTTAATAATATTTTAATTCGTCGCGTAAAATATGAATACACCAAACGATCTTTTTGTGCAATTAATTAACCAACTCATTTAACATTATCTTTTGAAATCTGAATTCACAATCTTATAATAAAGTTTAATTTAAATAATAATTTTTAAAACAATTTGGTGAAATCACAGCAGCATTACACATAATTTTCTAAATTATGATCGGTTTATAAAAATTTTATATATAAATACGGTAAACATAACACTTTTATGATTAGTTTATAAAAGTTTATATTATTAAATGTATTAACTTAAAAGAAAATACTTGTGAATAAGAATTTTTTTTTTATCATACAAGTGGAACAGAATAAATGTGTTTAATATTTTTTTCTTACGTTTAAATGTATATATTAAACGGGTCCCCACAAATTAGAAAATTAGTACTAATAATATGTAATTGTTTCCTTGGAAAATCCCAGGCTATCCCAGAATTTGCAATTCGTTGCTTGGGATTGCAAAGTTCGTATCGATTCGACCCTTGTGGTAGATCATGTCGACCGAGCTTCCACGGGATTTGATCGAGGGCTCCACCAGAGACTCTGGCAAGGTTCAGATGGGCACGCTGTGTTAAAGCGACAAGCTATTCCTCGACTCGATCCTTCACGGCGGTGAACATTTCTTGCCGTGGAACGATTTGGGCTTTCATTCTGTTGCCACCAATCCATCGTTAGAGATCCGTCCAGTTGACACGGAGCACAGAGGGGATGCCGTTGTGTATCACCCAAAACAATGAATTAGGAGTTTGGAACCAGTTCAGATGGATCTCGGACACTAAATGAGAAATCTTCGAGTTCACGATCTATCCGTTGAGGGGGTGTGATCGTGATTACGACGGGCGGATCTTATCTTCTTTTAGAGGAGATGGGTTGGCCCTGTTACTGCTGCTAACCAGATTGGATATCGGAGCCTGTTCGTGAACATTGACCCACTCGATATGCCGACCTTACGTACCAGAAGAAACTATGGCGGTCCATGCTACGAGGTTAATTTTGATAGAAAATCTTCATATGCTTGACCGTAATAATTCTTAGAAAAATAAAAAAAAAATAAATAAATTATAACCATCATATTAATAACTAGTAAAATAAATATAAATTCTTCAATTTTGATAGAAAAATATAATCATTATTATTTGACGTGTTAATTTTTTTAAGAATTTTTTGTTATCTAAATTCCATTAGTTTCAATAAACAGCAATTTAATTTAGACTCTTTACTTAAATTCGATTCAAACCAACTATTTCTCTTAAAAAAGTACAATGAATCTTTTCCATAATACGATACTATAATATGATGTATTCGTTTCAGATCTGGGGTTACCTGGAATATGTCACAAGGTTAGATGTTATCAAGTATGAATTACCGAAATAACCCTTGTTTTTTCATTTTCAATGTGCCAAGGGCGAAAAACACAAACAAACAAAAAAAATCCACAAATAGGTCCCAATGAAAGTTCCCAGAAAGATAAAATATCTAAAGATTAATAAATACACAATATTATGATACGAAAAAAAAAAGCAAAAAAGAAAAGAGAGAGAGAAAAGAGCCACACTTCCTCCTACATATCTAAAGCTATAGAGCCATACCGAGCCAACTCGCTGGCTTTCCCTTCGCAAACTCCGATCCTCCAAAGCACACCCGGCCGACCCCCGGCTCGGCA